TCAAAAAAAAAAAAAAGAGGGGACAGTGATGCTGAAGAGAGAGGTTTCTCTAGGGCCCTCCACCCCATGGGGTCACATTAGCCTGTAGAGAGGCACAGAGGTGCTCTGTGAGCAAACTATTAGCCATCACCATCTCTACGAGGGACATCTTCTCCCAGGACCCAGGATCCTATACCATATCCGTCTAATTGATCCTCTTCTCCCCAGGTTTGCCAAGTATTACAGTGACATCGCTGGCAAGGAGCACCGTACGCTCATCAAGGCATATGGCATCCGCTTCGACATCATTGTGTTTGGAAAAGTAGCTCACTGCTGGCCCTCCCACCCCCCACCCTCCCGCTACCAACCCTTGTTCATATCCCACAGGGACAAGGGGCCTCTCCCTACACCTATAGCAACTTATTTTCTTTTACTCCTGTCTTCACAGGCTGGGAAATTTGACATCATCCCTACTATGATCAACATTGGCTCTGGCTTGGCACTCCTGGGGGTGGTGAGTGGTTTAGGCCCTTCCCTTCACCCTGCTAGGCTGGGGCATCCTCAGCAGCAATCAGCATAGTGAGGGAAGACCTTGGTTGGCATCCTGCACCTGAGACTTACATTTATACTTGACCCTCTAGGCTGCTTTCTCTTGACTCCATTCCCTCTGCCACTTTCCCTTCCTAAGACTCAGCCCCTTGAGGAGATGGCAGTGCCTTTCCTTTCCAGTAGAAGGTTCCAGGCTATGTGGGAAGTGGGGACACATGGATTAATGGGGCTAAAAGCATCCCAGCTCATTCTTTCTTGCTCTGTTATAAATTCAGGCAACAGTGCTGTGTGATGTCATAGTCCTCTATTGCATGAAGAAAAGATACTACTATCGGGAGAAGAAATATAAATATGTGGAAGATTATGAGCAGGTAAGTCCCTCCTGTTCTTCTCCCTTATTTGTCTCTTGTCCCAGTGGAGAAAGAACCGTGGGCCCTGGTCCCATCTTGGGAGGTCCTTCTGCAAGGTTGTATTATTTTGACAGATCATCCACCCAGCCATTTACACCACCCTTAGCCTCTGCTCTGGGTCTGGACCACCCATACTAGTATTTACTTCATACTTTACTTTTTTTTTGAGTCTCACTATGTCACCCTCAGTAGAGTGCTGAGGCGTCAATCTCACAGCAACCTCAAACTCTTGGGCTTAAGCGATTCTCTTGCCTCAGCCTCCCGAGTACCTGGGACTACAGGCGCCCACCACAACACCTGGCCATTTTTTTGTTGTTGTTGTTGCAGTTGTCATTGTTGATTTTTAACTGTCCCAGGCCGGGTTCAAACCAGTCTCCATGTATGTGGCCAGAGTCCTACCCACTGAGCTACAGGCGCTGCCCTACTTCATACTTTTCTTCAGACGGATGGACTCACACTTTAAAACCTAGCCTTGTGGGGGTAGCACCTGTGGCTCAAAGGAGTGGGGCACCAGCCCCATATACCAGAGGTGGTGGGTTCAAACCTGGTCCTGGCCAAAAACTGCAAAAATAAAAACCTAGCCTCGTTGTCAGACATGGTGGCTTATGCCTATAATCCTAGCACTCTGGATGGCCAAGATGGGTGGATTTCTGGAGGTCAAGAATTTGAGACCAGCCTGAGCAAAAGTGAGACCCCATCTCATAAAAACTAGCCAGGTGTTGTGGCAGGCGCCTGTAGTCCCACTACTTTGGAGGCTGAGACAAGAGGATCACTTGAGTCTAGGAGTTTGTGGTTGCTGTGAGCTATGACACCATAGCACTCTATGGAGGACAACATAGATTCTGTCTCAAAAAAAACACTGGCTCGGTGCCTGTGGCTCAAGTGGCTAAGGTACCAGCAACATACACCTGAGGTGGTGGGTTCAAATAAAGCCCGGGCCTGCCAAACAATGATGGCTGCAACCAAAAAAAATAGCCAGGCGTTGTGGCGGGCACCCGTGGTCCCAGCTACTTGGGAGGAGGCAGGAGACTCACTTGAGCCCAGGAGTTGGAGGTTGCTGTGAGCTGTGATGCCACGGTACTCTACCCAGGGAGACAGCTTGAGGCTCTGTCTCAAAAAAAAAAAAAAACACTAAAAACCTAGCCTTGTTTCAATTAATGGCATCTCAAGTTAGTAATGGTAATGGGTATTATAACAAAATTTATGTTTGTATACTACTAAAATTCACCTTGCATAAGGGAAGGGTTGGCTACCATGCCTAGGACCTACTTGAGTACTGTCTAAAAGCCCTCAGGGAAAACACCAGGCTGGCCTGGAAGCAGTGCGTGCTGGACTGACCTGCTCCTTGTTCTTTGCAGGGTCTCGGTAGTGAGGTGGACCAGTGATGCCTACCCCACACCTGGGCTCCCCAGGCCCGACTGAAGCACAATGAGGAGGGAGAAATGGCTGTTGTATCACCCCAGAGAAGATTCTGAACTCTAATTCATTCTCTACAAGTCCTCAGGGTTGCCTAGCAGTTCCTGTGGTTTGTGTTTAAGATTTGTTTTTGCCCACTTGGTGCAGTAGGTTACCAGTTCTTGGCTGAGTCACAGGGTGAGTGCTGGCCAAGGGGCAATGACACTACTGTAGCTTCCAGGGCTGGCTCTCCTCAGAAGCTCCTGGCTGCAGCTCCCTTCAAGACAGGCCCAGTCCTCCGAGCCATGGCAACTCTGCTCAAGCACTTTATGAGGAAGGGAAGGCCACGTGGTTGTGATCACAAGACTTTTAGCACACTTGGGCTGCCATCCCTTTTGCCCCCAACCAGGGGCTTTGTCCTTGAAATCATAAGGCAGAGTTAGGTGATTGAGGACCAAGCTTTAAAACATGATTTTCTTCATCCCTGCCTGTTTCATCTCATAGCATGTGCTAGAACTTTCCTTCCTATCCTTTTACTGTAACAAGTAAATCCATTTCTTGTCCAGCTCGCTGTGGTCTGAAAAGGTCCCTCAAACAATGTGTTTCTGGAGCTTATGCATTTTGACCCCACTACTTTTTTTTTTGGTGTCACAGCTCATTGCAACCTCCAACTCCTGGGCTTAGGCAATTCTCTTGCCTCAGCCTCCCCAGTAGCTGGGACTACAGGCACCCGCCACAACACCCAGCTATTTTTTTTTTGTTGCAGTTTGGCCGCGGTTGGGTTTAAACACACCACTGTTGGTACATGGGGCTGGTGCTCCACTCACTGAGCCATAGGCGCCACCCTCACCCCACTACTTTTAAAAGCCTAAGAATTTTGATCTTTATTAGGTCAGGTTCCTACAGAGTCTATGTGATTTTCTTTTCTCTAGCCACATCTTACCTGTACTTGCATTTTGACATAAAATTACAGGACTGTAGTTTTAGGTAACATGGAAGTGGCTTGTCCTCTCCCCCATTTGCTTCCCAGTCTCCAACCAAAAGCAGCTCCACCTACACCTGCCTCCCCACAGGTCTGAAATGTTCAGGAAGCTATTTCCAGCTATGACTTCACACTGACCTAGTTCTGTACCAGGAGTTCAGAATCCACCTAAAGGAAGCAGTTTGCCCCTCCCCTTTGCTATAAATTCACCTCTAGGATGAGGAGAATAATTATAAGTGCTCTGGTGCTGCTGGGTAAATGACCAAACTGGGCTCTCCTTGCTTTTGGGAAGCAAACCCCTCCCAAGCAGCCCTGGTTCATGCTGTCCTTGAAAAATATGCTCGCTTGAGCACATAGATCAAATGGAGATAGAATTTTAGGCATGGTGATATGGTCTGAATGTGTACCCTGCAAAAACACAAGTTGGAAACTTATTCCCCAATGCAGGAATATTGGGAGGTGGGGTCATTGGAGGTGATTGGGTCCTGAGGGCTCTGCCCTCCTGAGTGGGAGCCATGCCCCTCTATAAAAGGGTATGATGGAGGGAGTTCATTCTCTTTTTGCCACCACATGAGGACACAGCATTCCTCTCCAAAGGATGCAGCACCAAGACACCCTCTTGGAAGCAGAGAGCAGCCCTCACTAGATACCCAACCTGCTGGCACCTTGATCTTGAACTTCCCAGCCTCCAGAACTGTGAGAAATAAATTTGTATTCTTTTTAAGTTACTCAGTCTTGGGCGTTTTGTTATAGCAGCAAAAAATGGACTAATCCAAATGGTTTATTATCTTGCAGGCTAAGGAGTCAGAATTACTGGCTCTTCTGGAGTGGGAGATACTTTGGCCTCCTCTTTCCTAAAATGGAATGCAAAGGCCAGTTGGGGTAAGGGTGGGGAATACTACTTACTTTACTCACCAGAATCACCTTGTGTGCAGCTGTGCCCCACTCTGATCCTTCACCCTCACATCCTGGATGGGCTTCCAGAAGTCTCTGGTACCCTACACCTCTGCACAGTGATAACTGAGCACACTTCCTTTCACTTTCATCAGATTCTCTATAGGATTTTCCAACAGGAATGCCCTGTTCTTGACTCTTCAAGGCCAGGATTTAATTCTGTATTTCTCCCACAATGGATCAGAAATTTTTCAGACTTCATCTTATGCCCCCTGATAATAGAAAAATGAGGTTCAAACCCAGAAAAGCAATGCCCTGGGCTAGATTCACATTTGTACTGCAGGGAGCCCTAAGCCTCTGTCTGATCTGGAAAAGGCTTGGTTCTAAAACAAGTCTCCAGATGCCATGAAAACCAGCCACCATCAAGACTCTGAAGTTCAAGGGTTTTGCTGACAAATTCAAGCCCTTGAACAACTGCCTTAACTTTTCTGAGCCTCATCTGACAGGTGATGATCCACAAAATAGGGTTAATACTTCATGGGGTGAAGCATCATGAAGCATGCTTGGCCCACGGGATATACTCAGTGTGGCTGGAACTGCTCTGGAGCTGCTCCCCTGTCTGGCCTCCACCAAAGTGTAGCAGTCACCTGCCTGCCACAGCAGTGCTCAAGTCACCTGGGGAACAGGTTTAAACCAGGCCCTAGCATCTGCATTTCTAACCCACTCCCAGGTGACACTGACATTGCTGGTCTGAGAACCACACTGCATATCAAGGTTACTAGGACATGCTATAAATTAGGGCTTTGCTGAATACATAGCCTTGAATTGGGCGTTTAACCTCACAGAATACAAACATAAGGACAGACAACATAAATCAACCACCACCAGCCAAAACAAAACAAAACAAAACAGGCCCAGGTTTGCACCATTTTGCTGTTTATTTCAAGTTTACAGAGAAGCTTAAACGTGTGGAAAATCACCAAAGGCTTATTTTTCTCTTAAGTTCATGTACTTTTTAGTGATAAATACACAGTATTTAACTTTGTACACCTGATAAAAGGAAAATGCATAGTAGAAAGGATCAGGAATGGAACAGAAGCATCGGGCATTAAATAAATCACAGAATAGAAAAGTGAGCAGTCCCATGAAACTCAGCCCGTAAAGCTGGAGAGATGGGAGCCAATGACCTTGAAACCTTCCCTAGCACCTTGGAAGCAAGTGGAAGTCATGATTCTTCCACTCAGCAACGTGAAGCTCCCCTCTGGAAGATGAATGGGAGTGACAGGCCATGCCTGTACCTACCTATTCAGGGATTCTCCTCTTTGCCCCAGGAGGGCTCTGAGGACAAGAGCCCTGCCTCATGGGAAAGGCAAGGCCAGTGAAAAGAGGCCTCTGGAGCCCCAAGTGCCAACAAGGGGCTTGATAAGGCTTTCTGGGGGCCACTGGCAACCTGTGGGATGGCCAGGAAATGGGAGAGGGCAGAGGAAACAGAAGGTGGATGGAGGATTTGTGCTTCCTTTGAGGCCACAGGTGTAGGCTGCAGGTTGCTTACACCAAATTGGTCCCACAGATGAGGCAGCAGTGGAAGGAATTCTGGGCATCCTTTCGGCCCACCTGGAAGAGCTGCTCACAACAGCTTCTCCCCTTTCCTGACGGAGTTGGTTTTTGAATAATCAATGTTTGTGCTCCAAGAGAGTGGTAGCTCTAATGCTTTGTGTTTAAAACAGCCTTCTTGGCTTATCCTTTCCATGCTTTCTTTGGTGTTTGTTTTTTTAAAAAAAGTTATCAATGTGGGCCTCCCTCAACCACCACCCCCAACAGCTGGATGCTGCCTGATCGCTGGCATGATCCACATAAGAAATCTTACGTGGAAAGTTCTGTGATGGGGAGAAATGGCATTGCCCGATGCGGCTGTGTAAACAAGAGACGCTCTACAGAAGCCCTGTGTGCTGTTGCCCCCACTGGGTGAGCCACTTGGCCAGGCTGGAGCCCACAGACAGGCTAGGCCTGAGACTAGGGACCCACTGGCTTTAACCACTGCAAGGTGCTTATTGCAAACTAATCAAGCCCCATCTGCTACCAGAAGGGGTGGAACTATTGAGTCATTGCCCCATAAATTTAAAGGAAGTGGGCAAAAGGAAGAACTAGGTTACAAAGGGAAAGCAAGCAGGCAAGACAATCTTCACTAGGCCGGGTGTCCTTTGCTCCTTGAAACCAGCATTCCCTAATTCTGAACGTTTTATATGATAGCAAGAAAAGTCTAGCTAAACTACCATCAAGAGCTTAAGAAAATTTATGGAAGCCAAGAATACTAGGGCTTGTGAACAGGCTAGCTGGGGGGGAAGGGGCACAAGGCCTCGCTCTGTCTCTGGGAGGAGTCCTCACATCAGGGCTGATCAGATGGAAACTACAGGAAAGGAAGAGTGTTCTGAGCCCAGTTACTGTATTTTACCCAAACCAGACTCCACATAGTACTGGGAAACAGAGCTCTGACTTTCCAAGGGCAAAGTCCTTTCAGTTTTCCTCCCCCTTAAACTTCACATTCACCTACACATGTGGGAAAGAGTCCCACTCAAACTTCAACCAAATGTCAAACATTAGTTGGAAGTCAAAAAGATAAACCCTATCTGGAATCTGGCTACAAAGCAGAACTTCTTGTGCCAAGCCCTGGTTTCCTCGAACCCAGAGGAGTGCTCTGGGTTTCTACTATATTCTCTAAAAGGGTACCCCAGTGTTACAGCATGGATCCTAAATTAGCTTTGACAGTAAAGAATCATTTGTATCTCAGTCAAGTCAAATCATTTTCCACATGGCCCTCCAGAAACTCGGTATTTCACTGACTACGACAATCAATTAGTATTTAAAATGAAAACGAAACCTTAGCAAGTCTCTAGAAGACACAGGCCCTATACAAGCTAAGCTGCTAGCATATACAGGCATAGGTTTCACTGGCTTTAACTGATCACATGCCTGAAGCCATGAAGTAGATTCTGGAAGCTCTAAGTAATTTCTGAACTGCTGTACTCTAGAGTTCAGTCTAGTTAGAGAAATGTTTAATCTTAAGCCATGTAATGTACATGGAAATGTAGAATTTCACCCAGAAGTTCTTGTAATTTAACAGAGATATTCACTAGAGCTCAGTTGACTATTTCAGAAACCTGCCTTGAACAACCCTCATAAAGAAATATGTTCAGTCTTTCAGAAGAAACTTCCCCCACCACGGATGCTGAAAAATCTCCTTCCAGGAGCACTTATACTTTAAGCCCTTTCTATTTTCCTGACTACAATTGTACCCACAAAAAATTAAAAAGTCCTTCTTACAAATAAGTTGCCTTGAAGTTCCCTGCAGCAACTGAGAGCTAGTGCTGCTCTGACTCCTTGAGTCCAAGGTTCTAAAAGGTGCCACAGTTTGGGGATTGCACACAGAGTCCCACCTACCCTTTTACTTCCTCTCAAATGCAGCAATAAACTTCCAAGCCTCAGACTCCTGGAGTTTTCTGCTTATTTTTCCATGATTTTCAAACCCCATGCACACTCATCTGATATCTCTGACATGGTTCTGAAATCACAATGAAGGATTTTTGGCATAAAAACATTTTAAAAAGCAATTGTCCCAAAATACATGTAGATTTGAGTCTACAACTCCTCACACCCACCTGTTCAGCTAGCCAGCAGCCAAGGTTGACGCCACGGAGTTAAGTCCCTCCCCCACTTTTGGTCCCCTTTAAAACAACAAAGGAAAAAACAAATAACCAGAGATGACGATCAAGGCTCTACACACGTGCTCGGTTTCCGTAGGACATGCTGCTATGGAAACACGGGCTGCAGCAGCCCCGCAGAGGTGACTAGGTGCATGCGAGGTCCAGCGATCCAGGCAGCTACTCGGGCTCCATCGCCTCCTCAGGCGGCAGAGGACGCATGCGTGCAGGGCAGCCGGGGTCCAGGGCCCCCCAACTCTCCACACAGGGACCGCCCTTCACAACGGCACTTCCTCCTCCCCCGCGGGGGGCGGGTCGGGGGCCCCTGGGCTGTCTTCGCTGCCTTGCTTCCTGCTCACCAAACAGAAAAGCAGTGGTAAGGCTCAGAGCTAGCTTCTCCCACACCTGGGCCCCTCTGCCTGGAGTGCCATCTTGTACCACCTGGATTGTGGTCTACTTAACCTGGTCTTTGCAATCATCTCCCCCCATTTTCTTGCTCACATAAATTTTTCAAATGAGACTGTGCAACCATCCTCTCTGTAAATGCAAGACCAGCATCATTTACCAAAAATAATGAGCTATAAAATGGATGCAAAATGTCCTATGGAGCTCCTAAAACCATCGCACAGATCACAAGCCCTATGTAGACAGGTATCTCAAACCTCCCCCCACTTCTATCTTCCTGGAAACTTCTTGCGGGGCAGATTGTGACATTCACCCTTGGGAGCAGTGGGCAGGGCCTCCCCAGGCCGGCCTCGCACACACGGAGTCTTCAGGAGAGGGCTGTTGACAGCTGTTCCAAACTCCTATACCCAGGCCCAGAGGGAAATGAGAGAAAGTAAGTCCTTGGGTCCCTCATGGGCCCTAGCTGGAGCTGCCCATGTGACAGCGACAGTGTGGATGGTGTAATGTGGTGTAATGTGATGGGGATCCCCTAAGGAGGGACTCATCTCCCTGTCACCATCACACAGATTTCCCCTTTTAAGGGAATCCACAGGACATGTCATTGTCTATCCTTCCCCAGCAACAATCTGATCTGTGTTCCCTGTAGGGAACTATCCTTATACAAAGGAGGAGAAAGTGTGACCTCAATACTTCCTAGAAAGAAAACCTTCTTTGTTTGAAATGGCTTTTTATGTTTCTGACAAAGAATGGCAAGTAAAGGCCCTGGGGAAGAAGGGAGCTGTAACTAGATGTCAACTTCTGCTGTCACAGCTGCCTGCTGGTAGCGGTATGAGCTCCCACCACCCAAGTGTCCCACCTAGTCCTTAGTGCTGAGGGGCAGTAATCCCTAGGTGTTAACTGGGACTATAGGTGAGACTAAAGGGGCAGTAAAGCCCTTTGGGCCAGTCTCTGGCTACTGAAGTCTTGAAATTTTGATCTTATTGAAAACCAAGGAACAGCAGACATGCTTACAAACTGGAGGCAGCCCCAGGCTGGCAGACCCTAATATGGAGGCTAAGAAGAGAAAGTGGGGGCCCAGCGGGGCCCAGCACACTGGTGGCTTAACGCTTATAATCCCAGCATTCTGGGAGGCTAAGGTGAGCTCACCAGTTTGAGACCAGCCTGAGCTAGAGCAAGACCCCATCTCTAAAACAGCTGGGCATTGTGGCAGGTGCCTACAGTCTCAGCTACTCGTGAGGCTTGTGATTCAAAAGCGCTTGAACCTAAGAGTTTGAGGTTGCTTTGAGCTATGACACCACAGCACTCTACCCAGGGTGACAAAGTAAAACTGCATCAAAAAAAAAAAAAAAAAGAGAGAGAGAGAGAAAGCGGCAGTGGGCTCCTACTCCCTGTCATCCTGTGAGGGCCCCAGGTGGAGCCATGGGTTACCTGGCTGCACAGATATCTGGGAACCAAGTGGGAACTGCAATAGCCTCCTGAGGCTACTGAAGATTAGCTGATTACTAACTGCCATTTTCCCTGTTCTACTCAGGAGGGCAAGGTTTCTCCGGAAAGTATAGGTGATTTCCAAACAAGTGTTCCTCTTAGACTACCATATAACCCCTGACCCCTATGGTAGAGATGGCCAACAAATTTCATTTCATAAGCCAACTCCTAACACTGGTACACAAACGTTCATAAGCAGCAGTATTCATTCATGACAGCAAAAAAGTGGAAACAATATCCATCAACAGATGAATGGATAAACAAAGTGTGGTCTATCCATATAACGGAGTATTATTCAGCCATAAAAAGGAATGAAGCACAGATACATGCTGCAGCATGGATGAACCTCCAAAACATAGTGCTGAGTGAAAGAAGCCAGTCACAAAAGGCCACATATTGTATGATTCCCTTTATATGAAATGTCCAGAAATAAGCAAATCCATAGAAAACTGAAAGTAGATTAGTGGGTTGGTAATCACTGGGGCTGAGGGAGCTGGGGGTGGGCATAGCTAAGGGTACAGGGTTTCTTCTTGGGTAGATAAAATATTCTAAAGTTGACTGTGGTGATAGCTGCACAACTCTGTGAATACACTAAGAACCACAGAATTATACACTTTGTGAATTGTGTGGTATGTGAATTATACCTCAATAAAGCCATTTTTAAGAAATAGAAGGCTGAGTGTGGTGGCTCACCCCTATAATCCCAGCACTTTGGGATGCTGGGGCAGGAGGATCGCTTGAGGCCAGAGGTTCAAGACCAGCCTGGGCAACATAGATTCTATCTCTACTAAAAATTAAAAAAATTAGACGGGTATGGTAGCATACACTTATAGTCCCAGCTACTAGGGAGGTTGAGGCAGGAGTACTGTTAGAGCCCAGGAGTTGGAGGCTGCAGTGAACTATGATCATACCATTGTATTCCAGCCAGGCTACAGAGAAAGACCTTATCTCAAAAATAATAAAATAATATAAAATAAGAAATAGAATGGATCTCTGAAGCTCCCAGCTGAAAGTATGGCAGCCACATCAAGTTCAGTGGGAAGGACATAGGTCACCACCCACCATGGGCATTTTGGCAAGAGGGTGCCAAGTAAGATTTCCCAGTCTTACAGGGATAAAAGTCCTCATCTGCCCTGGGAGGCTCTGGTAACCTGGCCTGGATGTGTTTGGAAAGAGGGCCTCTGACCAGAAGGAAGAAGGTCTGGCTCCTACTCTGGTCAGGGGACTCACATCACCTTATAACATGCTGGAAGGGGATGTGTTTTCTAGATCTTAACCTATCAGAAAAGGAAGAGCAGAGGCTGGAGACCCTCTCATGAAAAGACGGAGTGTAGCATGCCTAATCTATGCTCTGACCATGCAGACTCAGAGTGGGGCAGCTGTGGGCCTGTGACAGAGCTTCGATGCCACTGATGTGCACTGAGTCTATGTGGGTACCACGCTGGGCCCTCAGACCTGGGGGACCCCGCAGGCATTCCAGGTGGAGCGCCATGCACCTGCAGCCCCAGCCCACATGCACGACCCACCATCGGGTCCAAGCCCCTCACTGCCCCTCATTCTAATCTTGGGTCCAGAGGCTGGTGGGGAGCCTGGGCACAGCAGCCCGGGCTAGAAGGGACATCCGTCTGGGTGAAGATGTCCCCGTGCTCTGCAGTTGCCCCCACCCCCAGGCCCCAGCAGAGGCTATAGCACAGGCAGGCAGGCGTTACCTTGGGCTCAGACAGGGGCTCACACTCCCTGGTTGGTTTTTTGCTGGAATTGCCAGAAGAGGGGGGAAAGGGAAGTGAGAAAGGACACTTGGGATCCACAAGATGCCTGTCCCCCACTTTAGAGACATTCTGATCCCAAACACCAGCCTCACAGAACCAATGCCAGGGTGGTTTTGACGAGATAAGTGTATACCTCTCTGCATGGATACACAGGGTCAGAGCAAGACCACACTGCCTCCTTATCACCGGGGCCTCCAATCCCACCATCAAGCACTCACCATTCTGGGCCACAGAAGTGCTTTCTTTCTGATTGACAGCAGCCCCCCACTAAAATACAATTTCCCATGAGAAAGGTAAAACTTCAGTGTGGATTAGCTGCCAGCAGGACTATGTGTGCTGAACCCAGGTGACCAAAGCTGGCTAGTTGCTCATTTCCCTGGTGCCTGGTGGTTCTCATCTGAGCCTTCCAGAAGGTACCACTTAAGGAAGTGGCCATGCAGAGTGGTCTGGGCAGGGCTGCCCCAAGCTCAGCCTCCAGCCCCCACCCTGGGAGGAAGGCAGGGGGGCACTCACGTGAGCAGGTTTCCAGGCGCTGACAGCGAGCGCTCCTCCCGCCGGCTGCCTTCAAATGGGTTCCCGAAAGAGCGCTTGCGGATCATGGTCTTCACCAGGATCTGACAGGGAGAGAAGAGGTGGTGGGTGACTGCCTGGCTGCTCAAGGGAGATTCCAGAGAACACCCTCCTGCTTCCTTCTCCCCAGCCCCTGCCAGCTCTCAGGGCTTGTGGCCAACCGTGGGCCTCTGAAGGAGGCAGTTTGGGCAGTGTCCTTCCTACCTGAGAAATACCTGCCAGAGCCAGCCCTGAGTCAGACTTGCTCTAAAACACCCCATGGCTCCCTGCTGCCAACAAGATAAAGTCCACACTCTTTGGTGTGACACTGAAGGCCTGGTGATAATCGAGTCCTGGTCTAGCCCACCCCTGCAGGGCCCTGCACTCCAGGAGAGCAGGCCTGCACTGTCCCTTGGACATACTTGGTACCATTTCATTTTCAAGGCCAGGCCTTCATTTTCTGTAACAGGCCATCTGTGGCCATCCCAACAATAAACTCTTGCTTCCCAGGCATTAATTCTGGGAGTTGGGGGCTGCCCTTTTTTTAAAAAATAAATTTATAATTCACATACCATAAATTTGCCATTTGAAAGTATACAAGTCAATGGCTTTTAGTATATTCCCATCACCATCGATTCCACATTTACATTGCCCCCAAAAGAAACCCCATACCTGTTAGCAGTCTCTCCTCCTTTCCCCAGGCCCTGGCAACCACTAATCTTTGTCTGCAAGGATTTGCCTATTCTGGACATGTCCTACAAATGCAATCACACAAATGGGTCCTTTTATGTCTGGCTCCTTTCACTCAGCATCATTTTCAAGGTTCACCCACATTGTAGCACGAATCAGTGCTTCACTCCTTTCCACAGACCTTGGTGTGGACAGATCAGGTATTGCTCATCCACTCATCTGCTGATGAACATTCAGATTGTTTCCACTTTTTGACTGTTGTGAATAGTGATGCTATGAACATTCAAGTACCAATTTTTGTGTGAGCATGTTTTCCACACAAAATGCTTTCGTTTCTCTTGGGTACAGACTAGGAGTGGAATTTCTGGATCACATGGTAATTCTATTTTCTACAGTGGCTGCACCATTTTATATCCCCACCAGCAGCATAAGAGGGTACCAGATTCTCAGGGGAAAACATTTTAGTGGAGGATGAAAACCACCCCAGGGCAACTGAGGATGGCTCCTTTACAGGCTGGTGTGGCATGAGGAAGAAAAGCTCAGAATCCAGAGGCCCTTCTAAACCTGAGAGACACTGGCAGCTGGCCTTCTCCACAGCCAGGAGTGGAAACTCACTGGCACCCCTTGCCTCGCCTGCTCTGACACAGGCTGGGTCCGCAACATGGCTAGGAAACAGCCCAGCCCTGAGAGGAGAGGCTCCTGGGAGAAAAGGTGCCATTCCGGCACTGCAGCCCTGCTCAGCTTCTCTTCCCAGACTCCCTTGTCTTCCACCTCCCTCCCACCCCTTCTGAAACCCAGATCTGATTCCCTCACTCAGAATCCTTCACCCAAAGGAGTTTGGAATTATCCTGATGCTGGCCCTGGAAAATTCTGGAGCAAGGAAGTGAACGAGTCACCCCTGGTGTTGCTTTGACTGCTGCATCATATCAAGGGAATGGCCTCCAGACCCCACAGGGGTCACCAAGGAGTCAAATCTGGGCCTCATCTCATACCCAGCCAAACCACAGTGCCCTTTCAAGATGTTTCAGGTACTAAGCTAATTTTTTTTTTCTTTTAGGGTTTGTTGCTAACAAGAAAAATAAGTGTTTAAGAAATATTGATTTACCAAAAGATGAGAACATCCAAATGTCCATGAACTGAAGAAATAAACACAATGTGGTGTCTCCATACAGTGGAATTTTACTCATAAAAAGGAGTGAAGCGCTGACACATGTCACAACTTGGATGAACCTTGAAAATATGATGCTAAGTGAAAGAAGCAAATACACAGGGATGGGAAGTAGATTAGGGGTAGTCAGAGGAGGGAGTGATTGATGAACAGAAGTTTTCTCTTGAGGTGGTAACACTGTTTCATAGCTTTTAAAAGATAGGGTCTCCCTCTGTTACCCTGGCTAGAAGTGCAGTGGCATCATCATAGCTCAGTGTTACCTCAAATTTCTGGGCTCAAGCAATCCTCCTGTCTCAGCTTCCCAAGTAGCTGTGACTACAGGTGTACAAATGCCCAGCTTGTTTTTTCATTTTTATTTTTTAGAGACAGGATATTGCTATGTTGCCCAGGCTGGTCTCAAACTCCTAGCTTCAAGCCATCCTCCCACCTTGGCATCCCAAAATGCTGGGATTACAGGCGTGAAAATGTTGCATAACTGAAGTGATAATTGTACAACATTGTGAATGTCCTAAATGCCTCCCAACGGTTTGCTTTAAAGTGGTTAATTTTATGTTATGTGAATTCTACCTCAATTTTATTTCTTAGCTTTCAAGAGAGTCTCATTTTGTCACCCTCAGTAGAGTGCTATGGTGTCATAGTTCACATCAACCTCAAACTCTTAGGCACAAGCAATCCTCTTGCCTCAGCCTCCTGAATAGCTGGGACTATAGGCACCCACCACAACACCCAGCTATTTTTTAGAGATGGGGTCTTGCTCTTGCTGAAGGCTGGTCTTGAACTCCTAAGCTCTGGAGATCCACCTGCGTCAGACTCTCAAAGCACTAGGATTACTAGCATGAGCCACCACACCCGGCCCTCTACCTCAATTTTAAAAAAAGAAAAAGAAAACCACAGACTTAGAGAATGAAGCCCACACCTCTGGTGAGGCTCTCTCAGTCATTAGGAAACATCAGTCCCTTTCCTCTAGGCCTGGGCAGGTGTCCTCACCTTGGTGATTCACCCTGCCCCAACCCCCTTGTCAAACCAGCCAGGCCCTCAGGCTCTCTGGATCCCTGCTTTTGCCAAACCAGCAGGAGCTCTTCTTTAGCAGACCCCTGTTCCCTCCATCCTGATCTCTTAATTGCACAGGGTGACTTGTTCCTTCTGGGTCCATCTTTCTCATGAGGTCAGGAGCCCCCTGAGAGCTGGTACTGGACCTCACTCATCTTTGCGTCCCATGCCTGGCATGCACTGAGTGCTTGTTGAATGATGAAGACACAGAAGGGACCTGGACTTCATAATCCAGTTCCAAGGTGAAATGGGTTCCTAGTGCCTGTCTGCCCTCCCTGCCCTAGCTGCTCCAATCCAAACACCGCAGGAACTTCTCTCGGCTCATAGGGTCAAGATTAGGTTTCTACTACATCCTTCCTCCACCTTCCTTGCCCTGCTATCTGAAAGCTTCTTTTAGGCCCAGTTCTCTCTTGCTGGGAATGTGTTCGCTGTTCACCCCTCTACCCTCTCTCAGTCAGGGTAATGCCCTGCCATCCTCTTGGTGTGTATCCACATCTTCCAGGAAGCCTTTCCCAACTCACTACCTGGTCACTCACTGTCCCTCCATTAAGGGCATGACTTACAGCCCCTCTGTGGCACAGAATTTCTATTTGTTGGTGTTTTGACCAGCATCTACCTCTCAAGGATGACAGGGGCCATGAGGGCCTTGTCCCTCCCCTTACAGTACATCCACCCTTTGCTCCCAACCAGCTGAGAAACCAACCACTCTGTGATCAAGAAGTGTTTCTAGGATGATGAATGCCTACTATAGACCTCCAGGGTCACGTTCTCCCAAGAACCTGCAGCTGAGACCTGGGGAGCAAAGGGAAGGGGACTGATTCAGAACTAGAACATTCCAAGTCTGGAATAGAATAACTCATGATGGGTACAGAGTTTGATTCCAGCTGTCTCCCCCTCTAAGGGTACAGGATAAGGGTGCTGTGGGTAGAGGTGGATGAGTATACCAGAGAAGGTGTGTGTAGGCCCCAAGTAGAGGAGGATGGGAGAAGGAGGTGGATGAATGCCCTGGCCCTGGGACTGCAGGTTTGGAAAGCAGAGAGAGGAAGTGTGGGGAGGCAGAAGGGAGAAGTGCAAAGCTGGAAAAGGGGGAGCCAGCAGCTAGGCTCCCAAAGGGGTTGTCCCTCAGGGCTGGACACTGTGTCTTTGCATACAATCATGGGTCCCAACCAGAGTCCAATGCCTGCCTGCTGGGGCCAGGACTACCCACACGAAATCAGGGCTGTCCAGGTAGCCACAGTGGGACAGCCAGAGGGTCTCTGTCCCCAGAACTGCTGCTTAGACCTCAGATGCCCTCCAGGACAGCAAATGGGTGATTCCTGGAGTCTCTAAAGTTAGGCCTGAGGACTCTACAGTTTGGCTCCATCTTCCTGGGTCAGGATCCAAATTCAAGGCCATTAAAGGGGGCCCAGTGGCTCCAAAGCAAAATGTCACCCTTAGGAGTTGGGCAGAACTTTCTGAGGTATATGTGTGGGGACCTCTGCCCCAGCCCTGGTAGTTGCCCACACAGCAGATGTAAGATGGGTGAAGCTGTCCACCCTAGAGACAGCTGGGCCAGCCAGGTGGGGGCCCTGTTAGGGACCTTGGCTCCAGGTCCTACCACTGGCTCCTGCCTGGTCCTTCCCCTGGTTCTTCTCCCCTGACATGCTCTGAAAGCAGGAATTCTAGGGCACTCCCACCCCATGGTAACATGGGACCCAGCTCGGAATATAGCAGGCCACCTGGCCTGGGGTATAACCACAGCCCAGAGACCAGTGGCTATGGGTTAGGGGTGGTCCCCGCCTATGTCCAGCTCTGTCCCGCCAGGCCCTAAGGCTCCTGGGTCCCTGCTTTTAGTCAGCGGTCCGTCCGCCTTACCACGGTTGCCAGGCTGGGAATGTGTTTGACTGAGTTCTCGACCTCCTCTTCGGTCACCTCGACCAGGGTGCAGTTCTCGTCCTCCGATGGCAACGGCTCCGCCCCGTGCCTCGTGACCCAGGGGTGCAGCTTCAACGAATGACAGGAGGGATGAGGGGCGGGCACAGCGGGCCCCCGGAAGGCCTTGCCAGCGAGCGGAGCCAGGGGGGCATGCAGGAAGGGGAGGTGAAGGCCTATGCTCAGGCATGCAAGAGAGCTGGCGAGCCAGGCAGAGGGCAGGGGTGGGTGAGAGGGGAGGAGATGTGGAAAAGATGGAGTCAGAGAATGGGAGGAGCTATGAGGCTGAGATGTATGTGAAACCAATTCTCCATCTGGCCTCAGGTCTTGCCAGAAGTGACTGGGATTTGGCATCTGCCTGCCTGGCCACCTGGAGAGCACTCATCAAGCCTCAGGAACTCTCCCAGACACCCAGAAGTCTCAGCTCTGAGCAGGTGGCCATCTCCCCATTTCACAGAAGGGAAACAGAGGACTGGGGAGCCACAGTGAGACCAGCTAGAAGGATATCATCAGGAGAGGACCCATACAGGGGTCTGCCCTCACTCCCTACCCCTGGGGTTCATGCCCTAATGTGTGACTTTTCAGGCAGCTCCCTCTTACGATATCTTCAAATGCCAGTGAGCTAGGTCCCCAGGAGATCTCAGGGAAAATGTCTGGATTCGTAAAAGGGTAGATGGATACGTATGGTAATAGGATAGAATTGAGCTGGCTCATGTTAGATTGCTCGATAACTTCCTCCCACCCTCACTGCAATTTCTCAAAGGGACTGGCCCTTTGAAAAAGTCCTGAGGTCTGGCTATAGAGCATGGAGCACTCGGGAACCCTAGATCAGCCCACATCAACCCATGCCAGTTGGAGCGAATGCAGATCACAGATCCTACTCCGACAATCAGTGACCACGATGCCCAAATCCTCCTCCCCGTACCTCACCAGCCCCCAGCAACCCAGAGGCCCCACATCACAAGAAAGCAGCAATGCCAAGGAGAGTGTGGCACTATGGACATGGGGGTGGGGCCTGGCCGAGGCAGGGTGGAGCCAAACACTTCCCAGCACAGAACATAGGCCGAGTTGAGGGGCCCCAAGGAGCCAGCAGCAGCCCCCAGTACCTTGATTTCTGGCACCAGGATCCTTGACTCAGGGTTCTTGTCCAACATACGAGTAATCAGGTCCTTTAAGTCCTCAGTTATGTCCGGCCTGGGGGTGGGAAACACATCAGGAATGGAGACAGATATGCAGGACTGCCAAGAACTTGGAGAGGGAGATCAGGCACAACAGAATGGTGATACTCACTGGTCTGGAAATTCCAGTGCCTGACTCTTGATTTTACTATGCAAACACATGATGCGCTCATCCATGAATGGGCACTGGGGGGAAGAGAGGCCAGGGACAGGTGACGGTCAATGGCTGCTACATCTGCCCTTCAAGAGCCACCTGTGCTGCACCACTCCACAGCTACAGCAGACATCAACAGCGGCGGCCCAGTCCAGGAATGGAGCAGTGTCCCACCTCAAGTTCTAGAAGAACAAGCAATTCCTTCCCAACCATACTGTAGCCCTCCTCTGCAGCTGTACCTCAGCTTACCTTTTCTTCACCTATTTCTTACCTACTGTTCATCTGCTCTCCCCCATCACTCAGGTGCATGATTACAGCTCCCCTTCCCAGGGAGCCACCATCTAAAACAGACCCTCACCCTCGCCACTGCCATGTTACTTCCCCAATGGCTCGTGTCCCTGACATTATTTTTAACTCCTCCACTGGAACCTTGGCTCCAAGAAGGTAGGAGGCTTTGTCTGTCTTGCTCCCTGCAGACTCCCCAGTGTTTAGAAACATTTCTGGCACTAAGTCAGAGCTCAATAAATACCTGCTGAATTAATGAATACTTGAATTATTTCTCAATCCCCTCACAAAGCCATGAAATATACTGAGTATTGTGCCCATCTTACAGAAGTGAAAAACACAAGTTTAGAGAAGTGGCACATCCCAGGAAGTGCAAAGTGGGATTTAAGTCAGGACTAGGCTGCTTCCAAAGCCCATTCTTTGTACCAGCACCTGGGTGACAAACAATGCTCTCACCCAGCAGAAGGCCTGACCCAGGAGGAGTTCGGTTATATGTGCTGGAAAAAAGAATCTTTATGTGGGGTGCTGAAAGGGTTGGGAAAGGTGACAGAAAGTTATCATGCCCACTCCTGTCCAAGCAAAATTATTTCATTAAAAGTAGTGACTTGAGACACAAGTTGGGCTTGCACACGTGGATCCATTTGACAGAGCTCATTATGAATGAGACATTTACACTGCATTACAGAGGATGCCAAAAAAAGTATACACATTTTTCAAAAGGAAAAAAACTATATTAAAATCATAATAATATACACCAATAACAAAAGATGAATGAATACAAGTCATCTTGAGTATCTCTTGTTAGTGCAGAAGTCAAATGTGACTTGAGTGTTACAATTTTTTTTTTTTTTTG